GGGGGGGGGGGGGGGGGGTAAAAAGGATAGTCTAGGTTGGTGAAAGCAGCCTGCTGATGTGTCGCTTCATTTTTCTAAAAAAGAGTTAGAAAAAAGTTTCTTATTTACTGCACTATAAAAAAGCGGAAGGGTTCTTTTTTTCGGGCCAGGTCTTTCTATCGGACCTTTTACCATTGCCGTCGGCATACCGCGATTTCTCCGACAGTGTACGATGGTCTTCTCGCGAGAGTAACTGAAACTTGGACTTTCACGATGCAGAAAATGCATCTAAAATTATTTTAACAAATATTGAGATGTAGTTAAATAAAAAAAAGATATCTTGTAAAATGTCTTCGCAAAGAGATTTCTTCGATGTTATATATTGAGGATTTATCTTAATCGGTTCGGTTCGATAATAAAATCGTTAATTGATCGTTGCTGTTGCATTCGACGCTGTAAATATGGGAGTACAATCGGTGATGACATGCGTGCAGTGTATAATAGAAGGTTCAATTAAAAGACTGTGTGTCAATCGGAGACAATTGCGTGAAGGCTGAAGACATTTAAGTGTAATCATCAGGAACACTTTATCGCCATTATATATCTTGATTCATATTTGCGTGTACCTTATGGGCGGAACCCTCTATCGCGGTTTTACCATCACAAACCGTTCTCGTACGAACGATTTATATTTATATATTTGTTGATGTATCTACGATAACTTTGTTACATACGTGATTGGTGTATAAAAACGATACAAACAGCGAGTTGTTACAAGGTGAATAAATCAATTAAGTGTAAATTGTCTTAAATATAAATCTTGGAGATATTATCAGAGATGCTGGATTGGTGATATTATTCGAAGACATTGCAAAATTTTTATCTTTTTTGTTTCTTTTAAAATATTGAAAAAAAATCGCTAATTCCATAATTTCAAACAAAATTAATTCGTGTATTAACTTGTAATCATACTAAACGTGTGGTTGATTATACGATTCAGATAAGAATTTCCTGGACACTTTTTGGTCATTTTTCTTTCTTTTATCATTTACTTTTCGCAACAGTATGCCAAGATTGATGATTATGAGTTGATAATGATTCGTATATTAATAGTTTGTTAATAAAGTACAGCAATTATTGCAGTTATAAACGTCGATATCGACGACATTATTATAACTTTACGGGACATTAACCTACAATGCGCAATCTTTTTCTTTTCATATTTCTCTATAAAATCTTTCGTCAAGTATCGTAATAATCATTTCTTTTTTGCATTAATCTTTTTTACCTGTGATAATTCAAGTGTCTTAATATCCATATAAAACGCATTTGAGTTACCAATAAAGTCAATTTCCTTTCGATGCTCCATAAATATTGTATATGTTCAGAAAATGTTTCTTATTGTTAAAACTTATATCATCTACAGCATATTGCTTTAATCGCTATTAAATGTGATCACTAAAATTATTAATCATATTAATTATGCTGCATTTAATAATATCATTTATAATAGAATCATACAATAATTATATTCTTTTTTTTTTAAACAGTATCTTGTAATTTATTACTCTAATTTTAATTGATTTTTTACAAACTTAGATTTCTTTTTACAAATGTAAAAAAAACTGCAGGTTCTGCAGTAAGTTATAAACAATTGAAAAAAGCGCTTTTTATGAATCAATCTTTAAGAAGAAATTAATTAATAGATAAAAATTATCATTTTTAATTAATTTAAATAGAATATATTGCAAATTTATCAACTTATAAAAGTTAGGATTGTATGTACATAGGTATATTGCATAAAAAATTTTTTTATAAATATCATTCGTGAATGAAATTACATTATTCATAAACTTATTGGTATATATGCCATTATAATATAGCTTTTAGAGAATATTAGTCATTTAATTATTTGTAAGTATAAATTTTATCAACTATTTTTTCAATTAATATTGTCCAAAAAGTGCCAAAACATTATTAAAATTTGTAAGTTACTCTATTAAGTTTCTGTGATCGTTACCAGGTAGTTTTAATAAAATATGTTAAATAACTAGCAAGTTGTGAGATAAGGAGATGTCAGATGAGTATCTCTATGAGACATAATATGTGACGAACGTAATAACAGCATGTAACTTCGGTAATAGGGCACAGTAAACGACAATTTCCTAGACCTAGATAACTTGCAATACAGGAGGGGGACGAGGAAAGAGAGCCGGCTGCGGATTTATCACCGCATCTCGCGCATTGTTTACGTCTCAGACGGGGAATATAAATTCTCATTCTAAAGCGCCACAAACTGTCTACACCTAACAGTTTGCTCATCCCTGTATCGCGCGCTTCTGTTCTCTCCTCAGAACGGCCACATATATCCGTGTTCTTTACAAGATGTATTTAAATGAAAACGAAATGTTTTTAAATAAAGATTCGCTGTTGCTACACCTGCTGCGATATAAATCGTTACGCAGTTTTTTCAAGTGTTTAGTCATTAAAAAAAATTGATGTTTATAAATTAACAATGGCACAATAAAATCTTAATTTTATATACAATTGCTATTTAGATGAGTTGTTATTAACTAAAGATATTTTAACAGGTAAAATCACTAAAACATGTTTCTTTTATATATATTTCAAATTTATTATAAATAGATATTATATACAGATATTATATTTTCTATTATAAAAAAAACATAATATAGATTTTATAAAATTTAACT